ACAACATCTTTGTTGGTATGTGGTGCTGAGGATCGAACCTAGGCTGCACGCATGCCAGGCGAGCGCGCTACCACTTGAGCCACATCCCCAGCCCCATCCTAATTAATGGAGACAAATAGTTGTGTTTAACTCAGATATAATCTTACATTATTTAAAAATGATTTTATCTTAAATTACTTTAAATGAAAAGAATACACGTTTAAGGATATCATAATAAAAAAGAAACATATAAACATCTAACATAATAGAGTTTATCAGCACTTCAATTCACTAACTGTATAGGCCTAAAAGTAAAGCTCCACTGCCATCACTATTTAATCAAGCAATGTTGTTAAGTAGCAAGGACAATAACAACAAGTAATAAAAATAAAAACCCAACTTTTAATACCCATTGTTTAAATAAGCAAACAAAAAAAATACAGATAAAAAAATCTGGATGTTGCTAGGCCTGGTGGCACATGCCTGTAATTTCAAAGACTCAGAAGCTAGAGGCAAGAGGATTCCAAGTTCAAGGCCAGCTTAGGCAATTTTGTGAGTTACTGTTTCAAAATAAAAAAATAAAAATTCAAGCAACTGGGGAGACTGAGGCAGGAGGATAGAAAATTTAAGGCCAGCTTGGGCAAGTTTGTATGTCCTAAGCAACTTAATGAGATCCTGTCTCAAAAAAAGGTTGAGGATAGGGCTGGGGATGTGGCTCAAGCGGTAGCACGCTCGTCTGGCATGTGTGTGGCCCAGGTTCGATGCTCAGCACCACGTACAAGCAAGGATATTGTGTCCACTGAAAACTAGAGAGATAGATATTAAAAAATTCTCTCTTAAAAAAAAAAAGAGAAAGTATTGTAGGATTGTGCTGCCTCTTCCTTCTTATGTTTTATAGTCTAACGGGGTGCAATGGTATATGCCCATAGACTCAGCCAAACAAGAGTCTGATTGAGGTAGGAGCATTGATTGAGCCAAAGTGAAGCCATCTCTTAAAAGAAAAAAGCCTATAGGACAGTACTGAGGAAAATCACATTGCCTGTACTTCAATTAAATTAAAAAAATTTTTTTTTGATACTGGGGATTGAACTCAGGGGCACTCAACCACTGAGCCACATCCCCAGCCCTAGTTTGTATTTTATTTAGAGACAGGGTCTCACTGAGTTGCCTAGTGCCTTGCTGTTGCCAAGGATAGCTTTGACCTTGCCATCCAACTGCCTCAGCCTCCCAAGCTGCTGAGATTACAGGCTTGTGCCACTGTGCTTGGCTTAATTAAAATTTAAAAATAGTAAAATTTGTGGGGCTGGAGCTGTAGCTCAGCAGCAGACTGCTTGCCTAGACTCACGTGTGAGGCACTGGGTTCAATCCTCTGCACCACATAAAAATGAACAAATAAGGCTGGGGTCGTGGCTCAGTGGTAGAGCACCTGCCTAGTATGTGTGAGGCACTGGATTTGATTCTCAGCACCACATACAAATAAATGAATAAAATAAAGGTCCATTAACATCTAAAAAAAGAACAAATAAAATAAATGTATGCTATCCATCTACAACCTCAAAAATAAAAACAATTAAAAAAATATTACCAAACACTTAAAAAAAATGGTAAGATTTGCCAGGGGTGGTGGCACCGTAATCTCAGTGACTTGGGAAGATGAGGCAGGAGGATCACAAATCCAAAGCAAGTAATTTAACGAAGCCCTAAGCACTTTAGTGAGAGGCTGTTGAAAAATAGTGGTTACGAGCTGGGTGCAGTTGTGCACGCCTGTAATCCCAGCAACTTGGGAGGCTGAGACAGGAGGATCGTTCAAAACCAGCCTCAGCAATGGCGAGGCACTATGCAACTCAGTGAGACCCTATCTCTAATAAAATACAAAATAGGGCTGGGGATGTGGCTCAGTGGCTGAGTTCAATCCCTGGTATCAAAAAAAATAATAATAATAATGATTAAGCGCCCCTGGTTTCAATCACCAGTAAATAGTAAAATTTATCCAACTATTATTATTACTACTACTATTACTAGGTATTGAACCAAGGGGTGTTTAACCACTAAGCTATATCTCCACCCTCTTTTTTTTTTTTTCTGATTTTTTGTTCTTTATTTTGTGATGAGGTCTCGCTGAACTTTTTAGGGCCTCACTAAGTTTTTGAGCCTGGCTTTGAACTTGTGATCCTCCTGCCTGAGACTCCCCAGCCACTGTGCTTGGCCTAACTTTTGTTTCCAAATATGCCAAGAAAGGTTAAAAAAATCAAAGATTGTACTTTAGTCATGTTTTAGTGACAACAGACAGTTTTCTTCTAGAACTCTAAAATGATAGTACCATGTTTATAACTGTTGTGCATAGTCTTTCAAGGTAAACATTTTAGCTTTATAAATGAACTTAGGCAAATTTTGGAGGTCAGCAACTATGATTATCAGAATGACCCACACACACTATAAATGGTCAAAATTAAGCTTCTGAAGTTGGCTTCAAACTTGCCAATCTGCTGCCTCAGCTTGCCAAGTCACCATTCCAGGAAGATGGTCAGAATTAAAAGAAGGAAAGCTGGTGTGCTTGTGCATGCCTCTAGTCTGAGCATTTGGGAGGATGAGGTGGGAAGATCATTTGGGCTCAGGAGTTCAAGACTGGCTTGGACAACATAGTAAGACCCCACTCAAAACAAAACAAGGCAGAGGTATCATTCTTTTGATTTTCAGGAGCTAACTAGATCATCATCAGTACCATTCCTCAAAGACGGAAGAGTGGGTAACTTAAACTGCATAAAAGGTAGTCTTTTACACATCACATAAATAAAACAACCACTATGCTTTCCAGTTCCAGGTGGAGGAGAGGATATAACAAGCAGAAGCACATACAAGGAAAGCCCTTATCAACTTCTTTCTTTGCTATGAGGGGCTTCTATTCCAAGGTAACATACATGTGTAATTTTTTAGGCAAGAGATATTATTGTCAATATTCTAGATTCCTGAATAGTTTCAGCAATTATCTGAGTAAAATTTAGGCATTTTGGGGTAGACACAAAAAGGCTGATAGTCTGAACAAGCTGAAGGGCTAAATATAGACATTACCTGAAAATTATTTAAAGGGTACATTCTGATTGCCAACTTTTATTTTTTATTTTATTTTATATACTAGATATTGAATCTGGGGGCACTTATCACTTAGGTACATCTCCAGCCCTTTTTATTTTAAGACAGGGTCTCACTATATTGTCCAGGCTGACTCAAACTTGCAATACTCTTGCTTCAGCCTCCTGAGTAGCTGGGATTACAGGTCTGTGCCACTGCATCCAGCTTGCTTGTCAGTTTTAGGTCAGTGTTTTCTCATAATTGTAACCCATTAATACATAATAATTGGTTATAAAGTGCTACTGCAATTTTAAATAATTTGGGGCTGCAATTGTAGCTCAGTGATAGAGCACTTGCCTAGCATGTGTGAGACACTGGGTTCAATCCTCAGCACCACATAAAAATAAGTAAATAAAATAAAGGTATTGTGTCCATTTACAACTAAAAAATATAAATAAATAAAAATATATATATTTTAAAAGAATACATAGTTTTTCTTAAATAGATAAGAGTCATCTTTGTGTTTACTGTATCACTTAGGTTGTAATGGAAAAGTCACTGGTCTTGATGAAATTCTTTTCTTTTTCTTTTTTAAATTTATTTATTTATTTATTTTTAGTCTTTGGCAGACACAACCTCTTTATTTGTATGTGGTGCTGAGGATCGAACCAAGGCCGCACGCATGCCAGGTGAGGGCACTACCACTGAGCATCATCCCCAGCCCCTCTTTTATTTTTTGTTTTGTATGTAGTGCTGAGGATCGAACCTAGGCCCCATGCATGCTAGGGGAGCCTTTGAGCCACATCCCCAGCCCCTTGATGAAATTCTTAACAACAGTATTGAAAGGAATTACTAACACAGAAGCATTGTAGGAATGGATGCTTACTAAGCAAGTCTGTAAGTTTAAAGTCACCAGTTCAGGGCAGTGTGCACCTATGTACTTGAGAGCTTCATCTTCCAGCTAAAAAGATTAAAAAATAAGAAAAAATTATTATTAACAATGTTTCAAAGGAGGAAGACTTAAGAATGTATACATTCATCAATACATTCTCTGTATAGCCACCCAAATTCCAAAAGAACAATGAACCAGAAATAAAAAATTATGTTCACATAATAAAGTAATTCCTACTATTAGCAGGGTTATCAGTATTTTAAAAAATCAGTTCCTACCACATCAAATTCATGTTATTATCATCAAACCAAGGAAAAGATGACATAAACATTGCTTAATATTTATAGATTTTACTTCTGATAAGTTAAATGTACTTCATAGTACTTTGCAGAGGGATTATTAAGCTAAAATGATTTTCACACTTGAATACCACCTATGAAGATTTTTTAAAACAAATTTTGGGGACAGAGAGCCAAGAAAGGAATCCATCGTGTTTATCTGTTGCTGGAAGATCAGTGGCATGCTTACAGTGTTGAGAACAGATGGTAAGTAACTGATCATAATGATGCATTCCAATCAATATTTTTCAGGATTCCATAAATAACTAGAAGCTCAAGCTGTTGTTTTAATGCAGTCATACATCCAAAGCTCAAATTCAAACAACAAAATTCCTCCTATCATAGTAAGAGAATGAGGGAATTTTTAATGGAATCCAAAGTATGGATTTCATACCATTAATAAAATAAGAGAGACTAGCCCTACTTTATCAATCATATTTAAATCCACTTTTCTTTTCCTTTTGAAATAAGGTCTCGAACTCTACTTTCCTGCCTCAGCCTCCCAAGCAGCTGGGATTATAGGCATGTGCCACCAAACCTGGCTTAAATTCACTCTTGATCATTAGGTGCTATTTGGTCAATTCCTTTCCTCACTGTGAAAAAATCAGATTGTTTTTAAAAAGTTTTTTTTTTTTTTTTGGGGGGGGTATTGGGCAAAGAACCCTGGGGCACTGTACCCACTGAGTTACATCACCTTATCACCTGCCTTTTTCATTTTTCTTTTGAGACAGGGTCTGGCCTCAACTTTCAGCCTCCCCAGAAGCTGGAATTAAAAGCTGAGTGCCACTGTGCCTAGCAAGGCTGTACTTTTTTTTTTTTTCCTTTTGGTGGTACTGGGGATTGAACCCAGAGCCTTATGCATGTGAGGCAAGCAAGCTGCCACTGAACTACATTCCCAGCCCCAAGACTACAAAATCTTTAATGACAAAATATGTTGGATTTGTGATGTGACTGGGAGGATAAGTGTCAATACTATAAAACACAGGTTACTGCAAACTTGGCATATTTTAAAACAACTCCTGATGATTAAACAAGAGAAAATTTCCAGGACTGTCTTATTTGCCTATCCAGTTTGAATTATCGGCAGTAAAGAAACTTTCTTTTTGGTACAGGTTAAGCTGCATGAAACCCTTCTTGCCTATGGCATACCTTCCTTCAGTGTTACTTTGCCGCCCCACTCCGTCCTTTTCTAAATTTATCTTTGGTCAGATGTTAAATCCTCTCATTCTTTGATTCTAAGGAAAACACTTTATCCTTGACAAGCAAATATCTTTGGGTCAAAAATACACACAACTGGGGCTGGGGTTGTGGCTCAGTGTTAGAGCGCTTGCCAGGCATGTGTGAGGCACTGGGTTCAATTCTTAGCACCACATAAAAATAAGTAAATAAAATAAAGGTCCATTGACAACTCAAAAAAAAAAAATATATATATATATTACAAAAAAATACACACAACTCACATTTCCCTCCAGACAAACATCTTGGTGATGACTACAAAAAGCTCATGGTTCCTCTGATTTTCATAAGCATTACATGGAGTATTACCTGTGTGCAGCCTTTTAAGAATAAGGCCTTGAGACCCCCACAGCCTCTTACTAGTGCTTGAATGCCATCCTTGGTTACTTGATCACACCAGGAAATGTTCAACTGCTCCAACAGTGGACACCCCTCACTTAGGATAAAACAAAATGAGACAAGCATATCACTACATCCAATTTCAAAGATACTGGTCTCATTTTTGCAATGTTCATGTGGGACTTTACCACCAGCAGGGCCATATCAAATCCAGCTTAAACAACCAGAAAGCACAGTATAGTTTTTCAACTATAGACAGGATATGGAAATTAACTTGTTCAAATTTATAGAGTAATTAAAGTTCAGATTCAAACCGAGATTCTCCATCAAGTATTAATGAGAACTTTTAAACTTTTAGTTAAAAATAATTACAAAGGCTCTCTTTATTTCCTTATTTGGGACATTCCTAGAATATCGTTTCTGTAGACTAAAGTTAGGGTTTACTGTGTTGAATTTCTGTGATTAAAATATTAGTTTCCTCTAGATCTCTTCCACTTGTATCAGTTTAGTTTCATATTTGGAGCATGAAGAAATTGAAAGCATTCTTCAGAAACACTGAACACAGAAGTTTGTCTCCTTCCGGACCCCTCACTCCCCCCATGCTAGGGATTGAACCCAGGGCTTCACAAGCTACATAAGAGAATATTCTACCACCGAGTTCTACCTCCTCTAGCCCATTATCTTGCCTACCAAAAAGATCCAGAAAATAAATATAGGAGATTCAGGTTTGAATTCATTTTCAACATTAATAATTTGACTCCATACAAGTCATTTTAGGAAGCCTATCTATCTAAACCTCTTGGTCCAAGATAAGCCACAGCTCTTTCTATGTTCTTCGAAAACTGAGGTACTCACTCCTATCATCAACTTACCACACAGTAATATGATTCATGTTTAGTGCTCAGTCTTTACTCCGATTTGACTGAGCAATAACAATATCTTATTTAGTTTCCTCTCATGGAACAGTCCCTGGCATCTGACAACTGTGTTTTTTTTCCCCTTAAAAGTGTAAATGTCTATTCTATATACTTCATAAGGCTTTCAAGTAAACCAGATCATTTACATGAAAACATTTTATAACTATTTTCACATTCATTACCCTACCTTGTAAATAGTATTGAATATGTTTGTTGCTCAATATTCACAAAGAAAGTCTAAAAGGAGTCACATTTTTTTTTTTTTTGCAGTACTTTAAATTGAACTCAAGGACACTCTACCAGTGAGCTATACCCCTAGTCTTTAATTTTTCTATTTTGAGACAGGGTCTCACTAAGTTGCTAAACTTGTCCTCCATCTTGCAATCATCCTGCCTTAGCTTACTGAGTAGCTGGGATTATAGGTATGTGCTATAGCACCTGGGACTAGCTCATCTTATTTTGAAGACAGGGTCTTACAAAGTTGCCCAGTCTGACTTTGAACTTGCTATGTTCCTGCCTCAGCCTCCTAAGTAGCTGTGACTATAGGTGTATACCACCATGCTTGCCTTGAAGTTATTTTTATAACATAGAAACTGTTGACTACCATTAGCACAACTTTTTATAGTTCTGCCTAATATAATCTTGTGGAATCCTAATAACAATGCTATGAGATAATGAGGAAAAGCTCAGAAGGACTGTGCTCAAACAAAGTACCTGGTAAATAATCCTATCTCTAGAACCATATTTTAATCATTTAGTTAAAAATAACAAGACATTTTCTTTTCTTTTTTTGAAAGTAAGTCTTTATAAAAATCTAATAATTCATGTATAATCTATACTGTGCTCCTCTGTTTAGAAATCCTAGTTACCCCTAGTCATTTTACTTGAATAGCTCCTGTAATTATAATTTGGGAAAAGTGGTAAAATAAAAGGCCTATTTAGAACTATAGTATATATGAATAAAACATAGTTACCTTCAATTCAAAATTCATTTAAGTTATTTTTAAGAAATTATTATTAATGGACATGCTTATTTATAAGAAATTTACCTCAGAGCTTTCAGTGACATGTTTGTTATTGATGTACAGGAAGCCAAGTCAAGATGCCTGAGTTTGGAACAGAACTTGCTAAGGCTAGTACATGTACTGAAAATGGAGAGAGGAGAAAATAATGAATAAATAAGAACACATCTTTACTATATCATACACATTTCTCAGTAAATGTTTGTGTGTATACACATGCACGTGTGTATATGATATACAAAATATATCAGAACTGTAAAATTCGCTTACCTTCCAAAAAGCAGCTATAAATTTTGGGAGCTTTCCATGGAAGAGGCAGATACCATTCACAAAGAAGGGCAATACTATATATGAGAATTTGTATCAGAGGAAGATGGTGCTTCATTTCCATTTGGAAAACATTAATAGCTATTAACAGCTATTATTAATAATAATATTAATAGTTAATAACAGCAAACTACTTATGTGAACTCTAAGTGATCTATGTGTACTCTTCAAATCCAGGAACACCAGGAATGCTAATAAGTTTTTGCTATATATGGTAAAATATGAGGACCAAATCTTTGCTTCTGTTTTTTAACAGACTTAAAACATTTACTTAAACATTTTAAACATCTACTTGAGAATCTCATCTTTTACATGGCAGTAAGAAAAGAAGTGGATTTTGCAAGGTATACATAGATGAATTATATTGGGCTGAAAGAAGTTATGTAACATTGTTACTTATTACTTTTTGTGAATTATGATGATGTTTAGCAGTGCTAGATTAAATCCGGGGCCTCATGCCCACTTGGCAGCCCTCTAACACTAAGCTACATCCCCAGGCCTTTTTAACACTAAAAATTATTTTTAATTATTTTTATATTATCTATTCTCCCTCCTTTTTTAAAAAATATATTTTTTTAGATGCACACACTATCGTTATCCATTTTTATGTGGTGCTGAGGATCGAACCCAGTGCCTCACAGGGACGAGGCAGGCACTCTACCACTGTGCTACAGCCCCAGCTCCAATTTCTCCTCCTGTATTTTTTTTTCCCTCCAGTATTTTAAAGTAAATCCTGGATATATTATTTTATCTGTAAATGTTTTAATACTTTTTTATTCTTCCTTTCTCTTTATTTGGTACTAGGATCCAAGCCAGGGGCTCTACCACTGACCTACATGCCCATCCTCTTTTATTTTTCATTTTGAGACAGGGTCTCAATTGCTGGTATCAAACTTGTGATCCTACTGCTTCAGTCCCCTAAGTCACTGGGATTACAGGCATATGCCACCACACCTGGCAATGGAATTCCTTTTTAAAAAAATATTTATTTATTTATTTAGTTGTACACAATACCTTTATTTTGTTTATTTGTTTTTATGTGGTGCTGAGGATTGAACCCAGTGCCTCACATGTGCTAGGCGAGCTCTACCACTGAGCCACAACCCCAGCCCAGGAATTCTTAATTTCATGTTTGGATTGCTTGATGCTAATGTACATAGACTTTTTTTTTGGCATATTGTCTTATATCTAATGAGCTTGCTATCTTATTTATGAATTAAAGCATCTTTTGGTAGTTTCCTCATGATTTAAACAAAATTTTTTTTGTAGTTGTAGATGAACAGAATGCCTTTATTTTTTTTTTGTTGTTAGCTGTTATGTGGTGCTGAGAATCGAATCCAGTGCCTCGTGCATGCTAGGCAAGTGCTTTGCCAATGAGCTATAGCCCCAGACTTCCTCATGTTTTTTTATATACAATATTATAAATTATGTTTATTTGTACATATTTTATTCTATTGTTTCCTACCAATATGCATTTAAAAAACTTACTGTATTGGCTAGATCCTCCAATACATTGTGAAATACAAAGAGTGGTTGGGCTGGGGATGTATGCAGTTCAATCCCTAGCACCAAAAAAAAGTGTAGTAATTGACCTTAGTAAGAAAGAATTCAGTCATTTTTAGAAGTAGTTTTTTTGTGTGTGTGGGGGTGCGAGGGATTTACCCCAGGGCCTTGTGCATGTGAGGCAAGCACTCTGTACCAACTGAGCTATCTCCCAAGCCCCAGCAGTGGGTTTTTCATAAATGTTTTTGATTGGGTTGAGGGAATTTCTTTGGAATTGTTTTTATCATGAATGGACATTTTAGCAGATCTCAGTAGATCCAATCAAGTCTTATTCTTGATTTTTGGTAAATTTCAGGTCCTTGCTAACTATTACCTGGAAACATCAGTTTCTAGTCACGTAGGCCTCTCCACAGAGGTACCATAAGAGGGCAGCTTGCTTCCCTGAGAGCCAGAAACCCAAGAGAAAGCAGAGTAGGATAGTAATCTTTTTGTATCCTAAGTACCATCCAATCTTTCTTGCTGTATTCTATTGTTAGAAATGAGTCACTATGGTGAGTTAACTCTCAAGGGGAAATGATTAGACAATGGTTTAAATATCAGGAAGTGTGGATTATTTGGAGGCCATCAAACACTAAGATTTTTATTCCAGGTGATAAAACTATAGCTCAACTATGGCCAAATCATTCCTGAAGCCTATTTTAATATGACTCACAAACCACGAATGGTTCTTACAGTTTTAAGAGATTGAAAAAAAGTCAATAGGGCTGGAATGTAGCTCAGTGGCAAAGTGTTTGCCTCCCATTCACAAAACCCTGGGTTAAATACTCAGTTCCAAAAAAAAAAAAAAAAAGATAAAGAAAAAAAACCCAGAAACAGTTTGTTTTTTTTTTTGAACACATAGCTGTGCTTATTTATGTACTGTCTCTCTATAGCTGATTTTATAACTGTATCTGACATAGTTATAACATACTATACGGGTCAGGAAGACTAAAATATTTACTTATTTGGTCCTATTTCTGGGATAAATTCCACTTCGTTATGATCTAAAATCCTTTTTTTGTGGGGGCTAGGGTTGTGGCTCAGTGGCAGAGTGCTTGCTCAGTGTGTGTGAGGCACTGGGTTTGACCCTCAGCACCACATATAAATAAATAAATAAATAAATAAATAAATAAATAAATAAATAAATAAGATCAAGGTCTGTCAACAACTTAAAAATATGAAGAAATTTAATTTTTAAAAATCCTTTTTTTTGGGGGAGGGGGTGTTGAACCAGGAGTGCTTTACCACTGAGCTACATCATCCCTAAGCCCTTTCTAATTTTTTTGAGACCAAGTCTCACTTAGTTGCTTAGTCTCACTAAATTGCTGAAGCTGTATTCAAACTTGTGATCCTCCTGCCTCAGCCTCCTGAGTGCTGAGACAGGGTTTTGCTAAGTTTCTTAGTGCCTTGTTAAGTTGCTGAGGCTAGCCTTGAACTTTCGATCCTCCTGACTTCAGTCTCCCAAGTAGCTGGAATACAGCCGTGCACCAATGTGCATGGCCCATCAGCTGTTTAAAGAAAAGCCAATCCTCAATAAACTAATTTAAAAAAGAGGGGAAAGCTGGACACTGTAATCTCAGCAATTCAGGAGGCTAAGGTAGAAAGATGGCAATTTCTAAGCCAGCTTGACCAACTTAAAGGGACTCTACCTCAAAATAAAAAATAAAAAGGGCCTGAGATGGGAAGATGTTGCTCAGTGATAGAGTACCCCCAGGTTCAAACTCTAGTACCACACACACACACACACCAGTTGATGAAATTCACTAGTAGAACCATTTAGGTCTGTGTGCTTGTTAAGATAGTTTTAAATTACTCACTGAATGTATATATTATAGGCCTATTCAGAATATGCATTTTTTTCTTGAGCCAGTTTTGGCAAATGATGCCTTCCAGGAATTTTGTTCATTTTTATCTGTATTGCCTGATTACTATTCATGATATCCTATCATAATTTTTTGGGTAATAATTTATTTATTTATTTTCCTGGTTCTGGAGATTAAACCCAGGGGTCCTATGCATGCGAAGTAAGCATTCTACCAACTGAGCTATATCCCCAGCCCTTGTCTTTTTTATTTTGAGATGGGATACCTCTAAGTTGCTTAGGGTCTCACTAAATTGTTGAATTTAGCCTTTAACTTGTGATATTCATGCCATGGCCTCCCCAGCAGCTGGGATGACAAGCACACATCACTGTACCTTGTTCCATTTTATTAGTTTTTAGTTGAAATTTCCATTTTTCTTTTTGAAAATATGAATATTGATATATTTTGTACCAAGTCCTCTTGCCCTTTTAAAAGGTATCATTTTATACAAAGTCCTCTGCTGTTCACTTTCATTTAACAGTAGGTCTTGGAACTCACACCAAAGAACTGGAGATATTCTTCATCACTTTTAACTAATCATCTTCTGATAGACACAGGATGGTTTCCTTTTTTAGGGGAAGGAAGGGGTATCAGGGATTGAACTAAGGGGCACTCAAATACTGAGCCGCATCCTCAGCCCTATTTTGTATTTTATTTAGAGACAGGGTCTCGCTGAGTTGCTGAGTTGCTCAGAGTCTTGCTTTTGCTGAGGCTGGCTTTGAACTCTCAATCCTCCTGCCTCGGCCTCCTGAGCTGCTGGGATTACAGGTGTGAGTCACTGCGTCCGGCAGTTTCCTGTCTTTTGCTGTTATAAAAATTAGCAGTAGTGTGGTTGTAGCTCAGTGGTAAAACATCCCAGTTCTTAAAAAAAATTAGCACTATTCATTATTACAAACAGTAAAAATGAATAGCCTTGTACATATATATTATGGTTATAACTTATCATACAAAGGAATAGTGGGGTAAGAAGTTAGTAAACTCTTTCTCCTATTTCTCCTATTTTTTAAAAAAATTTTATAGTTGTAGATGGACAGCATACCTTTATTTTATTTGTTTATTTTTATGTGGTGTTGAGGATCAGACCCAGTGCTTCATGCATGCTAGGCAAGCACTCTGCCCCTGAACTACACCCTAACCCCCTGTTTCTCCTATTAAAGGCTTCCAAATTAATCTACAGATATAATATTTACTAGAAGAATTCTCTCTTTTGCTAGGTATGAAACCCAGGGCTTCATGCATATTAGGCAAGAAGTGCTATCACTAAGTTCTATCCTCCCTCTATTTTCTACATTAAAAACTGCTATCAGTACTAATTAAACTGTTCAGTCCTATGTTGAAGAGTTTAATCTTTTCATAGAATTATCTGCTTACTGTGGTATTTAATTATTATCCTTCTGTATAAACACTGATTATGATTTTTTCTTTTGTGGTGCTCAGTACCAAACTAGCCCCTGCCCCCCACATACTGAGCTAACTCCCCAGCCCACTCATAAATTTTTAAGTCTTACTTTAAATATCAAAGACAGAATTTTACAACCAAGAAAGTTGCTAAATACATTTGTTGGTGTTCATTTACCCATTAAGTCCCAAGTTTTCAATTATGCAAAATTTTCAGTGAAATTGACATAGGTACATTAAATTGGAAATAATAATCTAGAGATTATCATTAATAATATTAATACTAATGAATATTATAACTAATTCACTTATTACTTTTTTCAAAAGAATAGAACTCTAAAAAATACATTTGTTGGGCTGGGACTGTGGCTCAATGGTAACGTACTCGCCTAGCACGGGCAGGACCCAGGTTCGATTCTCAGCACCACATAAAAATAAAGGCATTGTGTTGTGTCCATCTACACCTAAAAAATAAATATTATAAAAATACATTTGTTTATTTCAAGGTTATCATATTCTCAACTTAAGTTTTTATTTATTTATTTATTTATTTATTTATTTATTTATTGAGAGAGAGAGAGAATTTTAACATTTATTTTTTAGTTTTCGGCAGACATAACATCTTTGGTTTTTGTATGTGGTGCTGAGGATCGAACCCGGGGCTGCATGCATGGGCCACATCCCCAGCCCCCAACTTAAGTTTTTTAGGTGTTCCATGAATGAAATGGTGGGACACCATGGGTTAGATTAATATAGCCCAAACATGGACTACGACATAACATTCTAAAACACAGAATACTTACGCGTCTGTAGTCTTTGTACACCCATTTAGATTTAATACTTCAATGTTCCTACAGTTCTGAGCAAAGGTCCTTTATGGGAAGAAAAAAAAAGTGACAAGTTTCAAATGAAATGGGCAAAATGCCAAACATAAAAAAATAAGATATTGTTATTAGTAATACTGTTTGCTGGTACCTGTGGTACCTGTGATACCTGTGTAATATTTGGTCTTCATCCCTTCTTCCTGGCATAGAACTCCTAAAACCCTTGTAATTTTCTGAGTAATGAGTGACAGGAACATCTTTTACTATAATATTTGGTCTTCCAACTATAACTACAATAACACAGCCTCATAAAAACCCCTAAATAATGGGGATTAGAGAACTCCTGGGTTGGTAAATCACATGCTGGTTTATGTTTGAACTACAGGTTCCTGTGCTTGGGAACCTTCTAAATCTTATCCCATGAACCTCTTCAACTGGCTGTTCATCTGTATTCTTTGTTTTTTTTTTTTTTTTTTTTTTTTTTTTTTTTTTTTAAAGAGAGAGTGAGAGAGGAGAAAAAGAGAGAGAATTTTTAATATTTATTTTTTAGTTCTCGGCGGACACAACATCTTTGTTGGTATGTGGTGCTGAGGATCGAACCCAGGCCGCACGCATGCCAGACGAGCGCGCTACCGTCGGAGCCACATTCCCAGCCCTCATCTATATTCTTTACAATGGTAATAATAACTAAAGCACATTTCTGAGTTGTATGGATCATTCTAGCAAATTACCAAACATGGAGGGGGGTCATGGTAATTCCTGATTTATAGCCCATTGATCAGAAGTACACAGCAACATGGGGCTTGCAACTTGTATCTGAAATAGAAGCAGTCCTTTGCACTAAGTCCTTGGCTTGTAGGATCTGAGCTAATTCTGGATAGTTTTAGTATTTAACTAAATTACAATATCCAGTTTTTGTCTAGAAAAACAAAGGATTGGTTGTAGGGTGGAGGGAAAAAACCTTATACATCTACTGTCAGAGTATTGTGAATAGGAACAGTTGAGTATAATACAAAGTAGTTGGTAAGTATAAGTAAATAAGTTTTTTTTCCCAAACCATAAATTCTTTTTTTTTTGTACTTGGGGATTAAACCCTGGGGCACTTTACCACTTAGCTAAATTTCCAGTTTTTTTTTTTTTTTTTTTAGAGACAGGTTCTCACCAAATTGCTGAGGTTCTTGCTATGTTGCTGGGTCTGGCTTCAAACTTAGGATCCTTCTGCCTCAGCCTCCCAAGTATCTGGGATGATAGGCATGTCTCACTAGCCCTGGCTGAACCATCAATTCTTAAACACAAGTCACCAAAGTAAATAAAAATTAAAAAAAAACAAAATACATTTTCTCAAGTTTCCAAAAGGATCATTTGTGATGAGAAATCTACCATTTTAAAATCATATTTCCTATTACCTGTTATTTTTGTTTGTTTGTTTTGGTTTTGTTACCAGGGATTGAATCCAGGGACAATTAACCATTGAGCCACATCCCCAGTCATTTTGTACTTTTTATTTTGAGAAAGGGTCTAAATTAGTTACAGTTTCACTAAGTTGCTGAGGCTGGCTTTGAACTTGTAATTCTGCTTCCTCAGCCTCCCGAGTCACTGAGATTATAAGTGTGTGTGTGCGCGCCTCCATCCCATTGTACCTGACATTTCTGTGCTATAAATAATATATACATGATGTATTTTCAACGTCTAGGGATTTAAAAATTACCTCAGCTTTTTCTGAGTGAGATGGTGCTGTTCTTGAATCAAAGAGATTAATAGCAGTTACTTTTTTTTTTAACAGTTATGTTTTTACCTTAATGCATTGTCTCCTACTCCAAGACACCCACGAAGACTTAACTTTCGTAAAAAGCCCCCACATCGTTTTGAAATATTCTCCACTACTCGACCCTATAAAAAGAAACAGGTAAACAAAAAGATGACCAATCTGATTGCTTTTGAAAAGAATACATCCTCATTTTTGACAACTTATGGACAGAGAGAAAATGTTTCTACTTGTTTCAAAGACCTAATTAAGTAGGAAAATTTCAACTTCCTTTGGGAATGCTTTCCTGATTAGCCCATCTACTTAAAACATGCCTGAACTTTATATTCTTATACTTTCCAAAATATATACTATAGCACTCTGCATATAGCAAGACTCAAAGAACACTTAAAAGGTTGCTAAATGATTTTGTGAGCCGTGCTGCTTTAAATATCTTAACATCCATGAAGATCAAAGAATTGTAAAAAACAATTCAATATAATGTTTGTAGTTATTATTTTAAAAACATCTTGTGAAGATAATGGAAGGTTCATATAAGGTTTTTAAAATTCTTCAAGTAGGCCCTTAAGAATTTGTTTCTGCTGGAAATTTAAAAGAGAAAGAGAGACCAAGAGAGAGGGGGACAGGCAGAAAGAGAGAGAGAGAGAGAGAGAATAAGAGAAAAGGAGAGGCAAGTGGAGAAAGAGAAGGGAAGAGATTCTCAATCTTCTTGACACTATGAGTTATCTCTTATGTTCACTCTTCTGAAGAGAGAACTAAGGACTGCTTTAAATTCAGTTAAAGTAATTCAAACTCAAGTCATAATGTTTTCTATTTTAAAGACAAAAGGTTATACTAAAAGGTGAAATAGGTGGGTAGGGGATGAGCAAGAGGAGACAAAAAAACTGCTTCTAAACAAAAACAATTTAATGAATGACATTGGTTTAATTCATTTTACATTCTCCACAAAAACTATTACCTTTGATTCACCAAGGGCCAAAATGCACATCTGGAGAATAACATAGCCAGGCAAAGTGGTACATGCCTGTAATCTAGAAGCTTAGGTGGCTGATGCAGGAGGATCACAGGTTCAAAGCCAGCCTTAACACTTAGTGAGGCCCTAAGCAACTCGACGAGACTGTCTCTAAATAAAATATAAAAAAAGGCTGGGGATGTGGCTCAGTGGTTAAGTGCCCCTGGGTTCCATCCTCAGTATCAAAAAAAAATAAAAATAAAAAATAAAAATAATAATAAA